CACTGCATCCCATGAGCTCATATCCAAACTTCTGAGGATAATTCCCTAGAAAGGCGCAGTCTCTGACACGGGCGCTCTGCATCCGATGAGCTCATATCTAAACTTGTGAGGATAATTCGCTAGAAAGGCGCAGTGTCCGTCGGGTGCGACGACGGCTCAAAGGCTCGCCGAATGCGCCTGCCATGTGACGCAGTTCTCAGGGGCGTCTTGCGGCGCCCGCATGCATGCCTCTCAAGTACTCATTTCTTGAGCCCCTGACAGCTCATTCCATTTCTAAGTGCCCCATAGCTCCGCTCCGGCCTATGTTCCTAAAATTTATTCGCGAGCAGGCAGAATTGTGAGCGCACAAGACGAATACTAGTTTTACTTTCTCCAGGAGCATGAAATACAACTGAACCCAAATTTAAGTTAAGTATTAGGCATGAATATTAACACAAATGTTCAAAAAAATTCAATTATTCTCCAATTATCGAACAGATTGTAGCCCACTTGCTGCTCACTACGTCTTAATCTTAACAAAACCATCGCGTAAAATCCGTCTTGAAAAAATTTCTCTCCTTGCAGGCATAATAAGTATTTACCTTCATCCCGTACTACAGTTACATTGCACTTAGTAACAATAAAAACGACTTATCATTTGACGTAAGCCTCATGGCAAGTTTTCCTCCTTCTCTTTAAACCGAACTATAGACAACAAAATTGAACTGAGCATTCGCTACTGGCCGCTTTATTTACAGCACTCTTTGATATTCTCCTAAGCGCTAATTTAAGTGTGAAATTATCCCAAGTCTATAGTAACAATGCAATTCTTCCGCTCATCGTGGATGAATTGCATCCTCGTGCGGCTGTCATGACATGTTCATCCTCGTGCTGCAGTCATTTTCATCGTTGGTAAGCTGATGCTGCATTTATCAAGCTTATAAGGTTCGCAGATTTTCGCCTGTGAACCCCAGCTTCTCATTATATCTCTTAGGAAATATTAACTAAGTTCCTTCAAAAGAGATCTAATTTATAGCAGAACTTGGAGAGCTTGGCGAGCGTTTCCCAGCCGACCTATGACGAGGCCGGCCGCCGGACTTGCCTATCATAGACTATCATGAGATTATGAGACGTTGCAAGTTATCGTAGACTATCGTAATATTAGGAGACGCCGCAAGTTATCATAAACTATCATGAGATTATGAGACGTTGCAAGTTATCGTAGACTATCATAATATTAGGAGACGCTGCAAGTTACCATAGACTATCATAATATTAGGAGACGTTGCATGTTATCATAGACTATCATAATATTAGGAGACGCCGCAAGTTATCATAGACTGTCATGAGATTAAGAAGCGCTGCAAGTTATCACAGACTATCATAGATTATACGGCGATGCAAGTTATCGTAATCCATCATGAGATTACGAAACGTTGCAAGTTATCATAGATCACAATAAGATTATGAGAAGCACCAAGTTATCATAGACTATATTATAAGATTAGAAGACGCTGCCATTTGTGGGCGGGTAATGTGCAGTGCGGCATGCCGAAGTCTCCTGGGGCCATACTTTCAAAACTCGTGAAGTGAACGTAAGTACTTACGCTCTATTTTCTTGTCTCTGATTGGTGGATTTTGCTCGATAGCCGTCAATGATTGGCTGACGAACTTACGATCTCTTAACTATTTTTGAAAGTATAGGCCAAATATTCAGGCCGCATCATATCGTGGGCTGTTCGGCCAAGTGAGGGCGCGGCTTGCGTTCTTCTGTACCTTCTCCTCTCATCTGTGCTCTCAACTTGTGCTCCAAAATTTTCTAGTTATTTTTTTCCTATTGGTTCTTCATTTTTCATCGCCTTTTTCTCTTCTGGCAGGTCCCTCGTTCTTACAATTAGGCTTGCACTGTCCGAAAATGCTGTTTAATAATAACCTTTCGGAGATAGAAACGCACTGTTTCTTAAGTACAAATTGCATTAGAACAATTAAATGTTTATTCGATAGACAAAACACAAAGGAGTCAATTTTCCACGGCTTCTCTAACCTTGGTTCTCAGATGCTGTAATATTCGGCGATATACCCATTAGGCTACGTTTTTACTGTCTTTATGTTGCCGTTCCTTCTCTCTAATTGGGAATTCGAACCCTAAACGAATAGTGCTTTTATTATAATACCACTTCCTATATTATGCACATAAGAACTTCTCTCAGAATTTCTAGAACTGCGTAAATAGATGACGTTAGCAACTGTTTGTTGTTTTCAGCAAAGGCCTACGTCGTGCTGACTGCGGCTGCGACACAATTTGGGTTTCGTTTTTTAGCGTACAAGTCTGCGCGCCTCACTTATTATGCGCAGCACGAACACCTGCCCTCGGCAACAGCTGTCTGGCAACACTGCCTGTACTCTGGCAACACTGCCTGTACTCTGGCAACACTGCCTGTACTCTGGCAACCCTGCCTGTACTCTGGCAACACTGTCTGTACTCTAGCAACCTTGCCCATACTCTGGCAACACTGCCTACATATATTATATACTCTGGTAACTCTGCCTGTACTCTGGCAACCCTGCCCATACTCTGTAACACTGCCTGTACTCTGGCAACTCTGCCTGTACTCTGGTAACACGGCCTATACTCTGGACTCACTGTCTAGACAGAGGGACAAACAGGCGACAATTTGTGGCAATGCTGTACTCAGAGACTGTAAACTGGCTTTTAGTTTTGTTAAAAAATCTGACAGCAACTAAATTGTCGCCACAATTGAAGGTGCGCGACTTGCCGCAGTCTTGGAAAAGATGGCTGGCAAACTCAGTTGCTTCAGGGAACAATCATTGGACTGTTAACTTGCTACAAGTTGAGGATGAGTGTAGTTATAATAGCAGCTGATCCAGCGCACCGCCGGGGCCTTTATACATGACCTCAGCTCCAGAAATTAAACATATAACTCTCAGCACTCTCATGTGATAACAGAAGAATAGATGTTCTCAAAGTTTGATGTAAAAGCTGCGATTTTAAGAGTAAAAAATATAACTTAGTACGCACAGCAGTGAGTAACAGAGAGCGCATTTTCTCGTCGACGAAAACGTGAATTCACGGGCGGACAGACAGGCGGACATGGTGAGCACAATAGTGCATTATTTCCAGAAATGAGAAAATGCGCTAAAAAATGTTTATTCAATTTCATTCCACAAATTAAAAATATTATTCCAATCAGAAGCAAGAACAAATTCATTTCAACATTGAAACCTGTTCGAGAAAGTCCAAGCAAACTTGGCAAGACTATAGTCCCATTAATTTAAAAATAAGCTCTTTTGGGAAAATTCCCCATGGCGAACAAGAAGTTTAATATTTGTTACACCCTACGTCTAAAAAGATGAAGAAATGTTTTACGATAAATAAAGAGCTCGTTTTCGAGAGCCAACGTAATAAAAGTCCACGCGTGGTAGAATTTGGAGCCTCCAACCTGGGCGCCTCAGAGTCGAATCTTTTCCATGGGAGTGCCATCAACATTCTTGTCTGTAGGACCTGCTTGACGACGCATGCCATACACGCTTCTCTCCTCTTTTTCATCAGCTATTGTATGGTTTTTGTAAGTTTTTATGGTGTGTGCGATGAAAGATATTGTCGCAGGTCTTGGGAGGACCGCAGCTCAGCAGGGCCCTCATATTGTAGCGGGGATGCGACTTCCATTGTTTACTTTTCACCTTCTCTTCTGGAATAAATTGCTAGCATCTGGAGCATCTCGAGTGATAATTCACGCGTGCAATGCTTGTTTTTATTTTGAGCGATCATAAGGATCGAACGAATTTATTAAAAATGGCATGAACCTATGTGCTTTAAATGTTGAGTAGCAATATTTAAGCGAACATATTTTCAATTACAAGCCTCCTAAAACCCACAGTTTGGTTACTATTAAATTTCGAGAAATAAAGGAAGTAAATAGTTGAAAAAATTCTAACCCGATGTGAACTTGTTTCTGATTCGATGATTTAGAGATACTTGATCCTGAGCATAGAAATTAGCCTGGTACGATAGATTAATCGATCTAGGTTTCTTAATCTTGAAAAACTATTGATTTTTGGAAAATCAGTTCATATTAAATTACTTCTGTTATATCCAATGTTTCTCTCGGGCAATAATATAAAAAATGGAATATTCTTTCAGCTTCTACTTCGGTCACGAACTTCGCCAGATCCAGAGATATATTGCTTAATACAAGTTATAATTTCATATAATTTCATTGATAATTTATCGAAATTATTATGAAAGCTATTCAGGTAACACAGATCATGATTTGAACCAGTATTATAAGATCAATTTGCGCCTACACCGTAAATTTTCAAAATAAAATCATTTTTGATCGACCCTCTGTTATATTGGCGTAGACGGAGTGATCCGTGCTGTCCAGTTTGCATATTATATTGAGGAGCGAACGGCTCTCCTCCTGACGTTGTATACAAATTGTGACATCAAACCGTCTTGTTATTGGGGCTGCAGGAGTCGTTATAGCTTCTTGCTATATAGAGGGCTGTAGTGTGCTGCAGTCCGTCTTGTTATTTAGGCTGCAGGAGTCGTTATAGCTTCTTGCTATATCGTGGGCTGTAGTGCTGCAGTCCGTCTTGTTATTGAGGCTGCAGGAGTCGTTATAGCTTCTTGCCATATCGTGGGCTGTAGTGCTGCAGTCACGTTATAGCTTCTTGCTATATCGTGGGCTGTAGTGCTGTAGTCCGTCTTGTTATTGAGGCTGCAGGAGTCGTTATAGCTTCTTGCTATATCGGAAGGTTTCGTATGCTGCAGTCGATCTTTCAGCTGGTGGATCTATAGTTGCTTTTGGTACATTTGTGCAACGGTGAACTAGTGATGCATGGATTGCTGTTCCTATATATCAAGCTAAGGGATGTTGCGGAAACTTTTCCCCGCGTCAAAGATCACGTTATGGTTGCGATAGCATTAGTGCCTCCATTTGACATTGATGCCGATGCGTGCACGTGAATCATGATCTGTTAGTTTTGAACACATTCTCCTACTGCGCGTTTGTGCCGCTCATATCTGCAATTTAAGTTAATATCAAAACTGTCACTTTCAAAATATGTCTTCTAACCTGAACAATGAAATATTTGTATCACACTATATTGCTCTGGCTGTTTTCTTTGCTTTCGAATTCCTGATTGCTCACTTAATTCTTAGCCGTAGTACGCATACACTTTCTGGGTAGGTATTACGAAATTTTATTATTTCGGCTTAAGTTAACCATAATGTGTATGGCCTAACACATGATAACTTTGCAAGAGTTTGCGCTATTAACACATGCCACCTACCTTGTCATAGCCTCCAACCGTTATGTTCTAATAGGACATTTACCTAATTCACTGTTTATTCGCGGTTTCAGTGGTATTAATTGCAATTAATACATCTTATGAACAAGTAATATGTAGTTTTAGTTGATGACACGCGGACGAAACATGTTGGCACGACGCCACTGCCTAGGATATCTAAACTTACATAGGGTATTCGATTGTTGTAAGAACCACTTGCATCACAGTGCGTACCACTTAATGTGAACGATATGCATCACAGACCAGTAGACCATGTCATTCAAGCCAGGCTCCTTTGCAAGTCATTCGATAATCTTGTGGCAAGGATTGACTCGAATCCTTAATGAAATAATTGGACATAATTGAAGCCTCAAAATATTCCTCACAAAATTTTATTCAATAATTCTTCAATATATCCTAGCCATAGTAAATCTTCAGTCGAAAACTTTTCGATCGCTGGTTTAGAAAATGAGAAATTAGCTCGTCGTGGCGCACTGTATTTACGGAAACGTCCATTTTATAAGAAAAAGTACATCTGTCGAGTTCTCATCGCTAAAGATACACTGATAATGGATTAGTCAGCATTAACTCATATTAAATACAAGTTTCAAAATCAATGCAATCAATTTCGGAGTATGATGTTGAAAATTTCATTGAAGATATAACCTTACCGACTATATTGTTATGCAGCCTTTCTTTACGTTCGGAGTCTTTTTTGGACGATCATGGATATCTCTCTGAATACTGTGAAAGAACCTTAAATTGGACGAATCAAACTGTAATTAATCCAAACAACGTACGATATACTGAATCATATTTCATACTACACCTATAATTCTTTTAATTTAATTTAATTAGAGTCAAGTTTCAGCCGTGGTGAGTCAAGTTTCAGCCGTGGTCGAGAGCGGACGCTCGTGTTTTGCGGTCCCAGATTTTCAACTTTTAACTTTAACTGTGCCGTTTTCGGAACTCTTTTTGCATTTTTTTATGATCCGTNTATAAGAGACAGCCTTACGACACTCACGTAGCAGACACACATGGGCACGTAGGCCACGTAGTAGGAGACCTAGAGACACTCACGTAGCAGACACACATGGGCACGTAGGCTACGTGGTAGGAGACCTTACGACACTCGCGTAGCAGACACACATGGGCACGTAGGCCGCGTATGAGACTCACGTAGCAGACACACATGGGCACGTAGGCTGCGTATGAGACTCACGTAGCAGACACATGGGCACGTAGGCGGCGTGGTAGGAGACCTAGAGACACTCACGTAGCAGACACACATGGGTACGTAGGCGGCGTGGTAGGAGAGGTTCATGTAGAGCGGCCACAAGACGCTCTGTACGGCCCACGACAAATACGAAGAAGAGCTCAGGAACAGGAAGCTCGACAGGCTGTGGTACACTGTCTCCTGCAGGGAAAAATTGCTATCAATAGTGAGAAATAGATTGAGTAAAAAACAAAAATATGTTTAAATTTGAAAGCAATTAGATAAAAATAGCACGTTTGCCATGAAGGGTCAAACTATGTCGCGAATAATGGAGACCAAAATAATTACAAGTGGAATGCTACTAAAAAATTATTTGATGACGTGATGAATTATTAGAGGACGTGAAACATTGTGATGGCGTGACGGATTGCCCGGCGATTTCAAACTTTGTTCAAGTTCTCGTGATATTTATTTGGCTTGTGTAAGTTTCGAGGTATACATGCAATTCAATTGAAAAGATCCGGTCAAATGATACGATTTTGGATCTTCTGTGAAGAACGGGCACGAAAAGAAAGAATAGGCGACAGGCCACATCAGGCCTACACTTCAGCGCCGACATCACTATGTTATGTTATGTTATGTTATGTTATGTTATGTTATGTTATGTTATGTTATGTTATGTTATGTTATGTTATGTTATGTTATGTTATGTTATGAAGCACGGAATGGCCAAGCCGGAGACTCACGTATGATGACTTGCGCACGAGAGCCCTGGATGTGGCGGATGTGGTGTAGGTGATGAGTAGCACAGCAGTGGTGAGGATGGCGGCTGAACATGTGGTGAGGTACACGCTGTACGATGCGCCCAAGCTGCTGCTGTACGGCATTCCGTATCCCATGCACAGCCACTGGCACAGCACTGATAACAACTGCACAGCAACTAAGTCGGCTAAGAATAATAATAATGAGAGAAATAAGTGTCGGCTAATATATAATATAAGAGAATAATAAGTGTCGGCTAACAACAATTACCGAATAATGGATGCGATGTACGAGAGGTGGTCTCAGACGTGACGATGAGAGAGTATAAGAAATAAACTGGAAACCACAACAAGAAATGTGAACACTTAAGATGTTCGTTAATAGGTCTCACCATCTGCGTGAGTTTGATCCAGCTGTCAGCCTCCTTGTAGTAGCTGGTGTCAATGCAGGAGCAGCAGCGACAACAGCAGCAGCCGAACCCAGCGGTCATATTTTCTTAATTTTTAATTAATTAATAATATAATAATAACTTAACTAATTTGTCCCTTAATCGTGGGATCTGTAAGGTCGTGAAGTAGAGATCTCTATTTATCTGTTTTTTTTTATGAGTATGAAATGATAAACCAAACAGAAATAGTTCGAAATTGCTTGAAAGTTATTTTTCTGGTGGAATTTCAACTGGAAAATAAATTTTCTCTTCGATCAATTTATTTTAATTTAATTTTATCATTGCTCGCTTATATTTCGTTGCGTTCTCGTGAGATGGAATCTATGCGCCAAACAGAAACAGTTCGAAATCGCTTGAAAGTTATTTTTCTTGTGAAATTTCAACTTGAGAATAAATTTTCAATCAATTTACTTTAATTTAATTTTATCTTCGCTCGCTTATATTTCGTTGCGTTCTCGTGAGATGGAATCTATGCGCCAAACAGAAACAGTACGAAATCGCTTGAAAGGTACTTTTCTCTTGTGGAATTTCAACTTGAAAATAAATTTTCAATCAATTTATTTTAATTTAATTTTATCTTCGCTCGCTTATACTTCGTTGCGTTCTCGTGAGATTGAATCTATGCGCACCAAACGAGGATAAGAAACGAGGGGCGGAAGTGCGAGCGGCACGCGCGCGTGAGCCACAAATAGCAGAGAACCTCACTGGGTTGGCGCCGCGAGCACATTTACACTGTACAGGCTACACAAACTCAAACGTTTATAAGAGAAGTAACTTATGAATCATTATTGTGGAAAGAATAAAATATAATCACGATGCTACATCGCAGGATTTTGATTCAATAATAAAGTATTTACCATCGAACTGAAGTACAAGTAAATTAAGAGAGTGGCATAACAAGTTATTGATTTTCTTTGAAAAAGTGAAACTCAAAGGACCTGTCCATCAGACTTCATGTTATGATCTCAATGATTATTTGCCGTTCACCAAAGATATAGTGGGGGGAAATAAATATTCGTACACTTGAAAAATCGTATTTTAATGTATGTAAGTACACAAACTGAACAGGAGAAGTGATTTATATTATGTATAGAGGCGCATTGTATTCAAAAATAGCATCAATAAGTGGAAATTTCAAGTGGAAATTTCAAGTGTACGAATATTTATTTCCCCCCACTGTATGTAAATGATAGGGCCCTCAGACATTCATGCTTGGTCTGTTTCTATTGCTTCTAGTCTGTAAAGTACGTACAAATTCAGGGGCATTTCTAAAAGAATCATTTGATTTGGAATGTCTATAATTCGAGCACTAATGAAGATCTATAATCTCGAAGTTTTTACCTCAGAGGTTCGAAGAGAAATTCAACAACTTTTTTGTTAAATTTACCAATTCCATTGGTAAAATCACTGTCATTCAAAAATAATTGAAATATTATCGAACTCATTCAGTTATAATACATGATTCAGTAAAATTTACTAAATTTACTAATGGTGCTTTAAATAATTATTACAAGTTATTTAATATGTTCACGTTCAAATATACGGCATATGTCAATACGTTAATGAAATACTAGCGAAACTGCTTTACGAACTTCCCCTCTGTTACAAAGCTATTCAGCAGAAAGCTAGATAAGATTATCAAGCTCAATCAAAATTCTCTGCACTGCACCTCTGAAGTGACACTTGAACTCGCGAGTTATTATAAACGAGTATACTTATTCTATACACGAGTATACACGAGTCGATACTCTGCTTGTGGCGATGCGTATGTTCATAGGGCACATCTAGGACATGCAGGCATCGGTACACCACTTGCTGCACGCTAAAACCGGTGCGCTGCACGCTAAACACCACCCGTGACTAAACGCTACACATTACCGGTGCGCTGCACGCTAAACACCACCCGTGACTATACGCTTCACCTCACCGGTGCGCTACACGCTACACGCCCCACCGTCACACTGAACAGCTCTCATTTCTGAGCCTCAGCCGCTCTTGACTTCCCCCGCCTGCGACAAAAACGGCAACAACCTCCCCAGCAGCGACGGGTGCCACCGACCTTCCCTGCGGCGACGCCTGCCTCCTGCCGCAGATGCAGTTAATGAAAACTTCGATTTCATGAAGAAAAACCAAAATTTATTCCAGCTAATTTTATCCTCGCGTATTCGTTCCTTTTAGAAGTGCGTCACCATGTGATAAAGTAGGTAGTAAATTTCCAACTGCTTGCTTTTGGACGACGAAGATAGAGCTCTAATGGCTCAAAATAAAGATAATAATATCAAAGATAGATAATAATTTCTTGTAGCCGGCAGTATACAGACTGTTTGTTCCCGACCGGCGCAAATGTCACAGTGTTTTGGGATTTGATTCCGAGGCCTGGGTAAGTCGTTGCGAGCAGTAGTGCAATGATCTTATTGTTTAGCATTGCTGATTTTGTGAACAAATATTTTTGTCTACTGTGGTTTATTTTATGTTTTCTAATTATTCTGCTCAAGCACATGATCTCTTATCCTCACTTGCTGCTTACATCCTCATTTCTTATCCGCAAAAGATTTGTCTTTTTAACTTTGCCGTTAATTTTCGAAATATTTAAGTAAGCTTTGATTTGTGCTTTAAATCAGTCAGCTTAAAGCTTTGCTTAGTAACTCTTAGGGAAGCGTTTTACCAATATAGCATCCGGTCATTGGTTGGTTTGATTGGGGCAACCAATCCAAACCTTTACGCGGCAGGTCGTTCGATTATGTTAGTCGCAAGTCGGCTCGTGACTCTTCCTTGGAAATATTACCAGCGTATTACTCGGTCCATAGGCCAGCTATTGGGGTGCGTGTTGAGAAGGCACTTTACCAACCTTGACAGGCTGTGCAATCTAAGTTTTGATTTGTACAGGGCAGAGCCGGCATTATGTTTCCCGTTCTTTCGTACGATGAACACTTGGCTTATAAACTCTTTCTTGCTGTTGTCTTCACTTCATGCCTGACGGTTGCTGGACTACGCTTCGTACCTAATTATTATTAGGCTTCGCTTCATTGTTATTAGGTTACGCTTTATACCTAATTTTTGCTGGACTACGCTTCATACCTAATTATTATTAGGCTTCGCTTTTTTGTTATCAGGCTACGCTTTATACCTAACGGTTACTGGTCTACGCTTTAAACCTAACTTTTGCTGGACTACGCTTCATACCTATATAATTGTTACTAGGCTACGCTCAATACCTAACTGTTACTGGTCTACGCTTTAAACCTGTTACTGGGCTATGTCCTTGCTTCCAAGTCTTAAATTCTACATCTGAAGGTCAAACGTTCTCCTCTGACCTTTAAATTTACGCGCCGTCCTTCACATAGTTCAGCTCTGGTCCGCGGGAACGGTTTTTGTAGCTCAAACTGTAAAATGTTCTCCTTGCAATTGTTGTCTAATAAAGTATGGGAGTGTGTCTTGCTAGCAGCCTTCCATATATGTATTTGGTTTCTTTTTAAGCTTCATGCTCGCGTATCATTTAGATTTAAACTAGCAGCATATATCGTTCTTTGAGTAATTTGCATGATATAATTACTGCGATATGATACGTTCAATCGGGATCCGAGCGTCGCAAAGATAACAGTTTAAACTTGTATTGATAATATCTTCTGAACGGCCGAGCAGCAATCGTTTTTGTGATTACTTATTAGAGACGCGCATAATTTTTGTAGGAATCATAAAGCAAAAACACGGCATTTCTAGCAAATGATTTGTATACAAAATATCGCTCGAGTACATAAGCAAAGACATTTCTCACAACTTGGAGACTTATGAAATATGGGGCAATGATTTATCCTGCATTATAGTTGTCCTAAAATATTTCCAAATACATCACAGTAATAAATATTCACTGTGAGAGTAGAGCATAATATTTTCATTCATTTGGAAGTTTCCAAAAAATAACTTGCTTGCCTCTATCTCTTCCGAAGGAAGTGTAGGAACAGGACACTGTTGCTGTGCTGAATGCGTGTGGTAAATATCGTCAATATCTACTTGCTTTGAGTGTACAAAAGGAATGGGAAGATTAAAAGTTAGGAGTCCCGTACAGGGATGATGGAGCTTGCACGCTGGTACCTCTTCCACCTTGCGCTCCACCACCTGGCCGAACTCCGCCTCCTGTTCCTGCTCCTGCGGAGGGGCTTGGACGACGTCCACCTGCTCCACCAGATGCACCTGGGCGACTTCCACTCGCTCCACCTCCAGGGCCGCGTCCTCCACTGCCGCCACCGACTCCAGGAGTGGAGTAGAGTTGACTAGGCTGCTGAGGAGCTCCGAGTCCACCAGCGCCGGATCCTCCAAAACCACCTCCCCCTGTGCCACCAATTCCACCGCTTCCAGGTGCACCTCCTCCGGAACCTCCAAAGCTTCCTCCAGCGCCTCCTGGTCTTCCCGCATTGTCATAGCTTCCGCCGACTCCACCAGTTCCTCCGAACCCACTTGCGCCTCCGGGCCCACCGCCGAATCCGCCAGCACTTCCGGGCCCACCACCAAATCCACTTCCAGCTCCTCCTGAGCCACCGGCTCCCCCACCGCTGGGGAGGCGGGAACCGAAGCCAGATCCTTCGGGCACGATCCCGATATTCGAGTTGAGGTCGTAGAACTGCTCGGCGCTGCTGCAGTCGAAGTTGTACCACCAGTCGCACACGAAGTACTGCTGGTTGAAGATTGTTCCGTTGGGGCATAAGAAACCGTCCTGGCGACCGTCAAACTGGCAGATGTAGAACACCTGCAACAAATAATCTCAGTTTAAAATTTCATCCTAAGGAGCCTACATAACTCATGAATATAATGTTACTTATCTGAACATTGGAACTTTTTGGCAAAATATCGATTTAATTATGCACTCAATATATCTGCGATATAATTGAATAACATAGTTTAAATTTTGTTAACAATGATGCCCAATGACGTGCTGGAGAAGCAGGACACATGACATGTTGTAGTGAACACACCTGGCAGAGAGCGGGGCTCGCGGTGTCAGCGTAGTAGCCCGGGGTGCGTCCGTCGCACGAGAATCCCGTGTCGGGAATAAAGGACAGAATCGGATAGTCCTCCCCTGGGACGCCACCCCCGCCAATTGCGGTGGACAGATCCCCAGTTCCTCCTCCGAGGTCGTCACCGCCAAAACCTCCTCCTCCGAAGCCCCCTGGACCCCCTCCGAAACCTCCACTCGTCCCCCCAAAGCCTCCTGAACCTCCAACACCGCCGCTTCCGCCGAAACCTCCTTGTCCACTGCTTCCACCTCCGGTTCCACCAACGCCTCCGTCGCTGTAGCCGCCGCCGATGCCTCCGCCAGGAGCTCCACCGAATCCACCTGCTCCGCCACCGGGCGCACGACTGCCTCCACCACCACCACCACCTACTCTGCTACCACCACTTCCACCGCCGCGGTTGCCACCAGTAGGTGAGAAGCCAGGCGAAGGGACGTTGTTCAGGTAAGATCCATAGATGACGGAGTGGCTTGCAGTCGCTGTGAATAAATAATTATCTTGAAAATATTCACAATTTAAGACTTTTTGCGTATCTCTAAAAATTTGAACTGATTAATTTTTAGCTTAGCAGCTGCACGATTTTCGAATGGAACTATATTCAGAACTGCGACTCAAGGTTTGACAAGGTTTCAAGTAAAAAATATAACAAGGCCTGAATTTCCAATTAAATAAGTAAGTCTTGTTAAATTAGTAGCCATATAGAACTTAAGTCTAACATAAGGAGATAAATCCTTCAAGGATAAAACATCAGGTACTCATGTTGCTGTAAGGATGTCATCCGTATTACTGCGAGACATGGAACCTCACACGCGGCCTAGCCGGTCCATCTAGAACACTTGATCGCGTGAGTTGCTGAGAGGCATGCTGAGCTGTTAGGCTGCAGAGCAATTGCCTGGGTTCATTATCGTGTAAGAAAATTAATATTTATATTGATTTATTTCTAACACCATTTTCTTGTGATTCATTTATCTCTCTGTTCATTCACTAGTGTTATTTTGTTATTCATTTGCGGCACTGAGGGTATTCACGGGGAGTGTCTTATGCTCTCTTCGCTCTCGTGCATCACGTCTTGCTTTCGCTAGACGGTTTTTCACTGTTAGTTTTTTCTAAGATTGGTTTATAAATAAAATAAAGACCAACGGTCGTTTTAAACGAGCTTAAAGTGACATGTGTACAGTTAAATTTATGCGTATGATCATTCTACCAATTTTATAAACGAAATTTTTAATTTCAAGAATTTTATTCATGTAATGCAACAGTGGACGTGCAGAGCTGACCAAAAAAAGCGTCTCTTATAATGAATTTTTATCGCAACTGATCGACCTCTGGTCTAGTAATGCCTCACGTTCATTTTTTTGTACTTCTTTTCTAGGAACGTATTACAAAAAAGGACCGCTCTCTTTTATATGGATTTTTTGCTTAAATTAAAAGTCTAATCTGACATCGAGCTCTGTCATCGATGGATAGCAGGCTACTTCGCGGCTGCAAGCGAGCCTATATATGCCCTGTTAGTGAACTAAAAATTATATTGTTGAAGCCGCGTAAAATACCTGCCCCACAGAGCATCGATTCAGTACACTCAAAATATAGAGACATCAGTGCCATTATAACAGAGTACACAATGCAAGCTTTAAACAATCACACAAACCAACTTTGTGGTATACAACTACTTATACTTTTACTATTTCGGTCTGCCCAAGAAGACAATTGCTGAATACAGACAATTGCTAAATGGTTACAAATTTGAAGTTGTTGCCTTCCTTTCTGAGTAAGCTGCTCGTTACGCTTGCAATGGGCGATGCCATTGTTGTGGTGCTGCTGTTCGAGACGCCGTACTTGCGAATCCAGGCGTCAATCTCATGTGCCACTTATTTTAGGAGCGTGAGACTTGGTGCCAGTGAAAGCCTGGGCGCATTCCCTTTCCAGAAGCCTTAAAACACGCAAAATGTTGCTCAAATAACAGGCTGCTCAATCTGAAGACTGGCTTATTACAGTATCAATAGATTGGCCAATAACTGGAGATTTTATTGTCTATTTGTACCAAATTATTTTTGTACGCGAAATCATTAAGAGGATTAAATTATGGCAGGACATCTTCATTCGACAATACCATTCAAGCAGGAAATTTCCATGAAGCTCGCGGTCGGTACATCAGAAACAACGCACCGTAGTCCGGAGGGTAGCTTTCAAATTAACGCCAAAAATTATATATAAAAGACTGAATGCACAATCTAAGGAATATCTTAGTCATGCAGGTTTCCCAGTCATGCATAATATCCGTAATTTTTTACTTAAATGTTAATCGTTTTAAGCCGAGAATGAACACTTGTTCAAATTGTTCGAAAAGCCAAGTCTCCACTTGACAGTAATGCAAACTATAGCTTGTCGAATCGAAATCAAATCGCAACCGCTTCCTGCTCGCTCAGGAAGTTGCTCGAGTGCAATGATTACGAAGGCAGAGTTCACGAGATGCTCTTCATTAATATAAAATGCTTTGAAACAAGTGGCATCCTCGACGCTGTCAGCGGCCACGAGGCATGGAGAAAGGGTTGTGTAAGGATATGACAAACGATGCTGATGCCTGAAGCTTGATCGCAGAAGGGTTTACGTAAGGGTATGACAGACGATGCGGTACAGCTAGGCGTATCAATGGTACAGTGAAAGCGATTAGCGATGGTGAGAAAAGCTGACTGAAATACTTCAATAAAAATGCTTTGCTATATGTAGGCTGCAGGACACTTTATGACTTGCATGCAGCGGCAATATTTAGACACGGTATTACATGGAGTCTCTCGTAGTGTGGTTATTAGAATGTCATGGTATGTGACTTCTGAAGTAAACATGATCGCCAATGGCGAACAGAAAAAGAGTGCTGAATTGCACATTCTTCAGCTGTTAATGCATTCAAAATTGTTACGGACGCTTAATGCGTTCAGAACATTTTTATTGAACATTTTGGCTTTCCCTCATAAATATAGTGCCATGAATTGCTAAGCAGTCCAAAATACGAAAATTTATATCTTTTGCACGATTTAAAGCAATTTAAAGAATCATTTTACAATTTTCTTTTACGCTGCGAAGAATTGCTTATCTCTCTCAAAATTATGTTTCAGAGATTAGAATATTCATTAAATAAATGTCTCCAGTCAAAGCCGAACCAGCGAAATATTTTGAGATGTGAACTCGTCACGTAAGTGGATTAGGGCGGTCAAGGCTGCGGAGGATGCCACTCAATGAGCCCTGAATTATGGCAGCAAACGAGCGTACGGAGTTCACTCTTCAGCATCTCATCTGCAGCCAAGTTTCCTACCGCTGGCCCGCAAATTGCATCCTCAGGAGCCTCCCAATTGCCCGTTTTGCAAGCCTGCCTGGAACCTGCGCCGCTGTGACGGAGCACTTGGCCTTATAAGAGGTGGCCTGCGCCGCTGTGATGGAGCGCTAGGCATTATAAGAGGTGGCCTGCGCCGCTGTGATGGAGCGCTAGGCATTATAACACTTGGCATTATAAGAGGTGGCCTGCGCCGCTGTGACGGAGCACTTGGCATTATAAGAGGTGGCCTGCGCCGCTGTGACGGAGCACTTGACATTATAAGAGGTGGCCTGCGCCGCTGTGGCAGCGCTAGGCCTTATAAGAGGCGCCTCTGAGTGGTCACCAGCGAGTTAAAGAAGTTTTTCATTGGACTAAACTATTTCAAACTCGATAAATGTACTATCTGAAGATAGTGTTTTATCATTTAATAATTAAGGTGGTAATGTAGCATGTAAGACTTTTATAGAGCGTCAAAGATATTACCGTATTATCTAAGATAGTAATGTAACATCTAAGATCGTAATGGAACATCTAAGATATTAACGTATCATCTAAAATAATTATGTATCACAATCTTTTTATTCTTTCTTCTCGTTACGCGAAGATGCATCCCCAGAGCGACCGAGCTCCAGGAAACGGCGTAGCGCCTGCTGTGGCATCATAACAAATTGTTGCGAATAATAACTCCGATCCAGAAAAGCGGCACTAAAAGGACTGTAAGAAGGTTATCAGCACTACTTGTCCGAATGGTACTTGTTGTAAGGCCCAGCCAGTCAAGTTAGAGCTCTTTGTCTCTGGTGTCTCTGCAAGGCTGACTGAGCTATTATAGGCTGCCGGACGCTAGTCTCAGGTACGAGTGAATTTGGATCAGTGCTCTTTTTTAACTGTCTATGAATTATTGTATTTTGGATTATTGAATTATCTTTCTGTATTGTTCATTTCGACGTATATTTATTTGTGTCATTTGTTTGTCTCGGCAGGACAGCGAAGTCCCTCCCCTCTCTATAGTTATAGTCTCTCTGTAGTTTTATTAGTCTACCTAGTAATGATCGCGATTCTAAACTGTTCTTGAATAAAAATAAAAACTTTATATCAATCGATTGAACCCAACATCATCACAAGGACGCATTGTAATTTTAGAAAATCGTGGCGTCCTATATTCTTCCATTTCATAACATATATATATATATATGTTATGCGGACCATTTCATAACATGCCCAAATGCGGACCGTTACTGCCAGCTATGAAAACTAGACTTGCAGTCACCTGAACAAATATATTTAGGCTTAGACAGCTCAAATAATTGATTAGGTTGCAGAGCTATGGTTTACTGTAGGGCTGTTTGTCGGTTGCGTGTCGTCCCTAGCTTCCTTCACATTGATTGCTCTTTGTTTCATGGCTAACAAACGGCGCCTGAATGCCCTGCATCCGCTGGAGTGGTTGTAATTTATGCTATTTTCGTAAGTGTTTGGTCGGTTAGATTGGCGGTGAAGGGCAAGTCAGGATCTGATGATGGGGGTAACAATTTCATGTGACTTTGTTTTTCAATACACAATAATTTAGAGCTTGCCAGTAAACTTAATCATCTTGACGAACATTTTTTTTAATAGAATAGTTTTTTGGGCAATGAAACAAAAGTTGATTTCTAATTTCAGTTTGTGTATCCTGAAATGGTTACGATTCCTAAAACTCAGCTGTCAAGTTTGAACTCGTGAATAACAACGTACCTTATTTTATAACAGCGTAGATAAGGGTACGTTAATCTTAATTAATCTCTTAATCTACAGTCCACGAGACGAGCGGTGTAAAGATTTGCTCCACAATACTTAAATATGTCGCCAGCTCGCTGATATTTGCATATTTATAAATTTCGCGCAAAAATGGGAGTATCGCTTTCAGCAAGGAAATGTGAATAAAGTCTTTACTATATCCCTGCATTATCTCATTGGTTCTTCATATTGCAACAGAGCAATAGAGCAAATGCATGTTATTGCCTCGAGAAGACTAAATAACGCAGGCAATAAAAATATATAATTTTTATTTTATTTTAGCAGCATTATATTGTAGGAAATCTCTACCCCACCAAGTAACAGTACGATGAAAGTGAAACAACAGCCCTTGAGTTTTTTTCTGAGACTTGCCTGACTGTCGTAACGGAAATTATTTTTTTTTATTTAAACGTTGCTTCTTGAGTAATATGAATTGTGAAGTGTTTCGAACAAATACTTTTGAAAATTTGATTTTGCGGTAAACAAATTTTTAAGTTCACGTTCAAGTTCCAAAAATTAATCCAGTATTGAAAGAAACTGCTGGGCTTTTTAACATGAAACATTAAATTTTATCTCCCAAAATATTTATACTATTTCAGGAGAATAAAAACTACTTTAAATTCAAGTACTATTTGCTGTACTTTTTATAAATTCTCGTGACCTGTAAAAACTATGACTTTTTAGTTCGACTTACCCAGGATTAGGCACAGCTGAGTCAGTCTGGACATGGCGCCTCGGAGTGACACTAAATCAAAGCACGCTTAAATTCTTTCTTCTTCAGTTTAAGTTCGACTAATCCCTTTTATTTTTAAAATATTTTAGTGTATGCTCATATAATTGAGCAAACAATAATATACTCCAGACTGAGGCAGCAGAAGAGCAGCACTCTTGCGCGGCGTCTAGAACAAAGCGTCTATGAGCTACGTTCGGTCGAGCGTTCGTTGTCAAGGTTCGGAATGGAATGACGGTTTGGGGTCGACGCCAGCCTTTTATAGTCGCGGGTTAGACTGCATCGACTGAGGGCAACCGTGACCGTTTAATTGACTCCAGAATTGTTCAAACTCGCGCGTGCCCTGACTGCCAGAGCGCCTCATGCCCTCGACGAGCGTAACAAATGGGAGAGCTGCGCTCGTCGCGCTTACATTCTCAGAAGATGCATGATCACATGACGTCGGACTCCTTTGAAAATGTCCCCTCGTTAAGCAGTTCTAGCTGGTCCTAGATCATTTCTCTGCAATTTTCCTTCGTCAGACGGATATTAAAACTGGACCATAAGACGCTCAGACATTCCTATGATTCGAGGAGTGTTAACCATCGGCATTCTAGCATACTGGTTTACATTTTCTCATACCCCCCCCCCACTCATTTCACATTAAATATACAATCGATGTTCCAAGAACATAACTTATGTCTAGTTAATTTAATATTGAATTTAAATAAACTCCGAGCTTCAACTGAAGTTTTTTTATTTAATTACAGAATTGATGCACGGCCCCAGTACTGTGCTTTCGCTGTGCGAGGGACCGAAATGAATTAGTCTCATTAAGCCCAACTATTAACAATCATTCACAGTATTGTTGTAACGTATTAGTTGCAGTGAAGCTATACGTCGCGTTTCTAATTGTGAAAAAACTCCTAAACTTATTGGTTGAAACATCATCAATGATCAGAAATGGGCCATTACACAGCCTCCATCTGGCTATTCCCTCATCACCACTACTGATCAAATTTTTTACTAATTACAGATAGTGTGAATCATCCACATGCACGATAACAGCAGCTGAAATTGATAAGATCTCTTTTGGTTTTCAACTCAGCTTTAAAGTTCTTATATTGATTGGAAAAGCTGGTCAATTACTCTGTGCTGTGTTAGGTATAGACATCGGTTTTGTTTTCTGCAAGATGCCATGCAATGCCCAAAATGGGTTCTGAAAAATCATTGCATGTAGCATGTATAATTATGAAATAGAAATGAATATCGATTGACTAGTCTATCTATATAGTCGGTCCAAACTAGTAACATTCTTGAGTGCATTTCTGACATTCTATACATTTACGCAAAAATCTTCCTCGGCGACTATGTGAATTTAAATAAAACTTCAAGTGTTCGTCTTGACGCGAGAAGGTAAACTTGGTGCGTCCTCTTTGATCGTGCAAGTTTAGTCGATGCGAAGGCAATGCGCATGCAGAATTGAGCGCAGTATTAACGAGGCTGGCGCACGCAATGCTCATGCTCAGTCTGCATGGCAGTCGAATAGCGTAACCCTTAGCAAAATTCTTGGCCGCGTTATTGGAGGCCAACAGATGGCCTACCGCTGGCCACCGATAGGGTGCGAGGTACTTTTATTCGGAGAGCAAATTTTAATGTCCCGTTGCATGAAGTCGTGAGTGCCGTCGAAACGCTGGCAGACGTCGTGAGGGAAGCTACCTTGATATCCTCATGTCAACGGCCCAGTTCCTCTTCTTAGAGGTGAAAAGGCAGCATCTCGTTTGCATGTATGTTGTATAGTTAGTTCATCCTCTGCTTTTGGTGTGTGGAAGAGACCAGAATCGCCTGGGGCCTGAGGATGGAATTGGCATGAGCCGTGCACTCCGCTTTCACTTTCATGCCAGACGCTACAAATGATGTCGAACTGCTAAACAAAAGCGCTTATCGTTTAGAGCGCCGCACTATAAATTGATGGCTCATCCAGCGAGCGGTAAAGGTTCAACGAGCGTCCTTATACAAGACTTAGAAGGGATGGCAAATAACTTAGTATGAAGTCTTCGCTACTCTGTTTATTACCTTATGTAAAACCCATGACGCAATTACACTCTCATATAACTAGAGTTTTACTTTATTATGATATGAAAAATTTCCTCTACGACATTTAAAAAATTCACACTCGAGACCCCTGAAAATATCTTTTTGCATATCAATTCTTTGCAAGTGGTTCAATTTTATAACTTGAAAAAATGCCAGATCCGTCATTTAAATTAAAGACTGACAAAGTTAGAAAAATCTGTCAATGCACCAGTCGGCACTATGGGAATTAAAGCCTCCATTTTTTATTAAAAAATCATCCAAGGAAAATCGTGCAAAATCTACCATTGATATTGGCGGCAGCTAGGGAGACTCAAAATATTTCTGATTCCTGCGTTCTGAATTTTTTGAGATAGCCCAGAATTTCACTGCGGATTGGCGAAGCGATTGGAGCGAAACAAACAAATAAAAAACTTTTAACAACCACGTTTTCTTAACGGACAAAAAAGAAAAACATTTACTCTTACATAACATTTAAGTTATGTAAAATGCTATGTACTGTTATGTAAGAGTAAATGTTTTTCTTTTTTGTCCGTTAAGAAAACGTGGTTTGTAAAAGTTTTTATCTGTTTTATTTCACTATTTTTAGTTTTGTAAAAACCAGAAAAACGTGGTTTTTAAAAATATTTTTACATTTATTTATTTTCTACTTTTTAGTTTGCAATTTTAGCAATTCAAATCAATTTCCAGGGTTGGCAAGTGTGGATGTTTGAGAAAAACTCAATTCCAAACCGTGAATTTTTAGTGTTTTTTTTTATTTTAATTTTTTTTTTTTTAAATTTTAATTATTATTTCTGATGATCAAATCTTGAATTGTTAGGCAGCATAAGCTTGCATGCCAAATTTCAACTTACTAGGATGTTTAGAAGTGTTCTAAATTAAGGTTTCAATTTTTTATGACAGACAGACACGAAACGAAGTCAAGAAAAAATAAATAAATATAAAAAAAATTTTAAAAAAACACGTTTTTCTGGTTTTTACAGAACTAAAAATAGCGAAATAAAACAAATAAAAAAAACTTAAAAAAACACGTTTTCTTAACGGACAAAAAAGAAAAAAACTTTACTCATACATAACATTTAAGTTATGTAAAATGTTATGTAATGTTATGTAAGAGTAAATGTTTTTCTTTTTTGTCCGTTAAGAAAACATGGTTTTTAAAAGTTTTTTATTTGTTTTATTTCCCTATTTTTAGTTCTGTACAAACTAGAAAAACGTGGTTTTTAAAAATATTTTTTATATTTATTTATTTTCTACTTTTTAGTTAGCAATTTTAGCAATTCAAATCAATTTCCAGGGTTGGTAAGTGTGGATGTTCGAGAAAAAAAAAATCAATTCCAAACCGTGAATTTTTAGTGTTTTTTTTATTTTTTGACATTTTTTATTTTTTTCAAAGTTATTATTTCTGATGATCAAATCTTGAGTTGTTAGGCAGCATAAGCATGCATGCAAAATTTCAACTTACTAGGATGTAAGGAAGTGCTCTAAATTAAGGTTTGAATTTTTGATGACAGACACACACGAAACGAAGTCAAGAAAAACGTAGTAAAAAACGTGGTAAAAAAACGTGGTAATAATAACTAGACGTTATTATATGACGTTATTCTTCATTGCTGAAGTCTAAAGCTTTTGCTCCTAAGATAGGAAGTGAACGATTGTGAGTTAGGATCCAGCAGTGAATGAGTGAAAGAGTTTAGCAATTCGCGACAATGTTAGGACCTCATGACGGAGCGAATGCATATTCTGAGCTAGCGAACTCTGGCAATCCTAAAAACTTTCTCTCGGTTTACATGAATTTTCATGAAGATAGTTTGCCAAACTTGCTCCACAAAATGTGGCTTATTTAATGTGGGTTTAAATTTTTGAGGAAAAATTAGTAATAAATTTAATCTTAAATTTTTTCTTTATATTGCATACCGATGAATGATGGTTGTGATGCCTGCGACATTGCAAGCTAATTGCTTCATTGAATTGGTCATAGATAAATAGGAAGAAAATGCATTTAACGGAGATTCACGCCATGTTCCCGGATACAAGTCACCCTGGAGATTCGATGCAGTTGGTGATTCCCATGCCACATCACCACCAACCATCATACCCTTCATGTCTGCAGTGCAAGCACGTTCTCTCGAAGCCTCGTCTTCCATCGGCGAAGACGACGTCTCAAAACGTCGCATTAAAGAGAAGTTTGAGGTTCGTGTTGAAGGGCGCGCAAATATCACCAGATCGTGAAGCCGTGAGAGGTTAAACCAGCTGCACTTGATCGCTGTTGAGCGCCATAGCAATAATTGATGACCCGCTTCCAGAGCGTGACGCAGCAGCTACTGAAAACGCCGGAATACGGCAGCGCTCATTTTGCAAAACTAGAAGAAGTTTGAAAAAATCGAGAGACAAAACGATAAATAATTATGAGGAGGAGATATCGCCAATCAAACTTGGGGGCTTTCCCCTCTAAGCCAAAATTTTTTATTATCAAACAGCGCCAGCAAAATGCAAGACGAGCCGAAACATCGTCAGAGGCCACGACAAAAACTTTCGTATTCTCGCGCTAATTGACTGCACTGAAACTCAGGATCAAAATATATGTAATTTAATATGATGCAGAAAATTTTGTTCTAATCGTTTGATTTAGAGCAATTTCCAAATGATATTCGAACTCGATAGCCTAAACAAGATAGTTATTCTCGTCTATGATGTTGGTTGTAATTGGTCGAATTCATTTCAAATCGTTATTTACTTTTTCCCTAATAAGTTTATTGTTCAATAAGATGAATTGTACATCTACTGAGGGAAAATTCTAGATATTTTGAGCGAAGGTAGAACACATAAGCTACTACTTGATTTGCCCAGCTTTAATCACCACAGCTGGGGGCTTTAACTTTCCTCATCAATTAACCCCTTTTGCCCCAGCGGAACATTTTTTCGACCCCCGTTAAAACACCGAAAAATGCTCACGGCTGGGGCCTAAGATGCAGAGAAGAAACCGTGAGCGATCGATTCATCCTTGAGACTTCAATGAATTTCTAAAAGGAAGAATGCCATCGTCGTTGGGGTGGCACGCAGGTTCGTTAATTATTATTTCGAGATTGGAACATTTCACCCACGCACTTGTGGTAGACATAGGAAGTCAGAAGGTCAGCTACAG